CTGCCGGGCCGCGCCCCGCGCCGCCCCCTCCCCCTCCCTTTGTTCCTCCCCCACTCCTCCCCTCCCCCTGGGCCCAGGCCTTGGGGTGTGGGCGTCCTCCTCGCTGGCCAGCTCACCCTCTCCGCGTCCTTTGTACACCCCGAGGGGTCCCCCTCCCCCTCCACAGGTCACCTGGGTCATCTGCCTTGTGGCCCTGCTTCCATCAGGGTCTTGAGTCAGGTGGATCTGGGCTCCAGGACCCCTCGCTAAGCCGGAGCCTGTGTAGTCACATGACCTCCCAGTCTCAGTTTCCTGATCTGTGAAAGGGGGGCAATCTCACCTCCCTCTCCGGGTGGGCCTTGGAGAAGTGAGGGGCCCAGGCAGGTGGTCAGTCTGTGCAGGGTAGCTGCTTTTTCAGGGCAGAGCCCTGGGTGGGAGCCTCAGAGGCCTCTCTGGAGCAGGGCTCCTTGATTTGCTGTCCGGAGTGGCACTGCCGGTCTGGACCCCTTAAGCCCTCTGTAGGTGAGTCCAAGTGCCCTAGGGGGGACAGGCCCCTCAAGACAACCTGGTCACCTCCATTGCCCTGGCCCTGTTGCTGCCCCCTCCCTCGGCCCCTGTACACCCCCCAGGTTGGAGTAGACAACTCTGGGTGGGGGGAAGCAGGGCCTGCACTGTGGGGCCAGGGATGGGGCGTTTATGGGCCACTGGGTCCCTGGAGGCCGCAGGAACATGGCTGGGAAAAGGAATCTGGGCCTGATTCAGAGGCAAACAGATTGTTCTTCTGATTAAAGCCACAGTGGCCAGATCGGAGGAAGGCGGGACCCAGAGCATCTGGGGGGCTGCCAGCAGGACCTGGTGCTCCCTGCAGCCCCTCCAGGGGGTGCTGGGCTACCTCTGAGGGGCTCCCATTCGTGGGAGTGGGTGGGGGCCCTGCACCCCCGCCCTGCCTAAACCCCTCGCCCTGTGATCCTTGCTGTCCTGTCCCTCTGGTCATCCCTCGCTTGCTCCTCACAGTCACTCTTGCAGTCACCGCAGTGAGAGCAGTGGCCGTTTGCCGGGGCCTCTCGTGAGCCGTGCCTGGCCTTTCCATCCGGTGCCCACGAGAGCCCCCAGTAACGGGCGCTCTTTCTGGTTTGCCCAAAGGCACAC